CTGCTGCTGCTGCTGCTGCTGCTGCTTGCTGTGAGATTGAAGCCCAATTAGCCGCAAGGCTTGGCGGCGCGCTGAGCCGTTGTATCGTCGGAGAGGGAGAGGGGGAGGAGGCAAAAGGGGTGCGGCCGCGAGCCGGGAGCAGCGCTGCGCAGGAGGATGGGGAGAGGGGAGGGAGGGAGGGAGGGGGCGTTTGTTCTCGCGTCATGTAGCAAAGCGATTTGACACAGATGGGGTTTGATGGGGTAATGCAATTATTGGCTTGTAACATGGCCGTTTGTCGTGCAACCAGCAGCGCGGCTCGTCGAGAGGAGAGGAGGCCGCCGGGATGGAAGGGCGGGGACTCTGTGGGGGCTCTCGAGACTCTCAACCCTTCCGCACCCCGAGGACGACGGACGACGGCGTGCTCCGAGGCCGGCGCGGAGGCGAAGGAGACGCCTGTTGAGGGGTGTCGCAGGTGAGCTGCTGGTCCTGGCGCGCCCTTCTCCTCCTGCGGGAGGGGCGGGCGGGCTGGACATGGACAGGGGAGGCTTCTGATTTGAGTATGATTTGAGGCTGATCGGGAGCGACGGAGCAGCATCAAAGGCAGTTGGGGGCCATGGGATGCGGGAATGGACCTGCTCCCAACCTTTATCCAGGACACTTCTGCTGTGCTGTGCTGTGTGTGAAATCGTAAGGGGCGGGCTGAAATACTACTGCCCATTAAAACGTGTTTGTTCCTTCTACCCGCGTACGGCGGAAAAACGATTTTGAAAACGTTGCATCATGCCTGTTCAAGTTCAATGAAACACATTTGTGAATTGGACGATTTTTGATTGCCCGATGAAAAATAATAATTGGTGATTGGCTCGGTTGGCAACTGTGTGGATGACGGCTGTCAGGGTTGACGGCGGGGAAGACTACTCGTGATAGGAAGCTGAAGGGTCGTCCAGAGGAGAGCTCTGTCCGCCATGCCGATGACTGGCCGCGGTGCCGCGCAACGCGCTGCCGGGGAAGCCCGCGGCCGCGGTGCTGCTGCGCGCTGTAGCGCGTCGCGCCGACCCCCCGCCTCGCGGCCTCGCGGTGCTCGCTGCTCGCGCCGCTGGCTGAGCGGGCCGCGGGCTCGCCGCGCCTCCTGTCCTACCCCCTCCCCGGCCCGGCGCGGTGGAGGGGATGGGGGGAGGGGCTTGCGGCCCCGGGCCGGGGTGGGAGGCGGGGCTGAGCGGCCGGCGCGGTGCCAGCGGCGGATGGATGGTGCCTCCTGGCCGCTGTACCGTCCCAGACCCTCACGGAGGAGGCACACCGCGTGTCACGGCCTCCGAGGCAGGATCAACAGGCTGGCGCTGCGCTGCGCCCCCTGCTCGCCCCTCCGCGGCCCCGGAGCCCCGCGTCCACGTGATCCCCCCAGTGCGCGACAGCGAGTGCAGCGGCTAGTGCGAAGTGAGCGATACTGAGCGAGGGCGCGCGTGAGTTAGTGAAGTGATTGTGTGCGTGAGTGCGTCGGTGGTGTCGCCGAGGGTCTTCGTCGTCAGCACGGAGGCCTTCCTGCTCCGGTTCGGGGGCTCGCCGCCCCTGGCGCCCCTCCACCATCACCACCACCGTCCCTACGAGGACGGCCTCGACGGCCTGGACGGCGTGGAGCTCCCGGACACCGACCCGGAGGCCTCGCCCGAGGACGTCGCCTTCAGCCCGGAGGACCAGCGGCGACTGCAGCTGCGGCGCGCGTCCGACAGCAGCTGCGGCAGCCTCACCGCCCACGGCAGCAGCCTGTCGGCCGGCATGGTGGAGACGGTGGCGCACGGGCCGCTCGGCCACCACGGCCACCCCGCGCACCAGGGCGCCGGGCGCACGCCCCACGGCACGCCCTCGCCGCCCGCGTCCGCCACCTCGGCCAGCCCGTCCAGCTCGCCCGCGCGCAGCCCCTCGTCCAGCCCGCGGGCGGTGCGCCTGCACCTGCCCCTCTACTACAACAACAACCTGGAGCTGAAGCACACCACGTCCTCGTCGGCGTCCTCCACCTCGCTGTTCACCATCGACAGCATCCTGGCGCCCCGGCCCGCCGTCACCTCCGCCGCGACCCCGACCAGGTACGCGACGCGGCCTTTCAGGTCGCCTAGGACTGAGAGCCGAGACCCTTTGACCGTAGACTGACGGCCGCTTTAATATTCAGTGATCGACCCCCTTCCGCCCGAAGAGGCCCTTTTACTTTTCTACTACTATGAGGGCTTGCGCGGCTTTTACTCCGATGAGTCAAGCACTCGCAAACGGAACGGCTCTGGGTGGATCAAAAATTTTTGGCCAGCAGAGGCCTTGCGGTTTGTCAAGTCAAGGCTCACGATGTGCTTCTCATGCCCATCGCGGGGTCCGCGGTGGTGTATTTTAGACAGGGAGCCGTTAGGTTCCTTTCGAGACCAAACCGATACCAAAAGAAGATCATTACGATCGCCGTTCCTGTATACTCCTGAACGCGCAGATCGGTCAACAGTGATATATGGCGCGTGGCTTTTCGTTTTAAAGGTTCAAGTTTCATTCTAGCAGAAGGCCCCTTATTGTAGCGGGGCGTACTACACGTGGCGAAATGCGTAATGGAGACGGAGACGTCAGCAGAGATAAGTGGAAAAGTTTTCGCAGCTCATTCAGGGCACGGGGCGGGCGGGACCTAATTGGGCAAAGCGAGGCAAAAGCTTGTCGCTGGCGGTCAAGCGGTCAAGGCTGCGGAGGATCCGGGTCAAGTTAGCGCGAGGGCGCGACATGTCGCGGATAGTTTAATGAAACCTTTTTTCGACTTTGCATGTCCGAAAGAGCAAAATTAGCATTGGAAATGTGTGATTGAAAGCAACCTGTTGTGGGATTAGGGCGGAGAACTCTTGACACGGAGTTTCAATGCAAATGCCAGGGCGTCGTGGTTTGCGAAATTCGGCCACATTGTATTCGATGCGTACAACCTAGAGTTAAACGAACATACTAAATCGTGACCATGCTTGTGGTGATTTTTTGCTCATGTCCTCGAAGCATTGTTAGTTTTCATTGAAATGTGCTTGAAAACGAGGGGGAATCTCACTCTGTGTCAGGCTGTCAGGCATAGCAATATTGATAAATTTCTATCCAATATATAATGTGTACAGCCTCAAGGACCACACGCGAATTTCGTCTGCGGAGTCGGCCTGCGTCAAGGTCACGTGACGTGTTACGTCGTCGCTGGTACCTGTCGGGTACGGGTGGGTACCTTACCTGGTCGCGCGTTTAGTCCAACATTTATCGATTCGGGTGGATTTGTGTCGGTGATCACGGCGGCCGCCTCCCTAACTTCGCCAAACTGTAGCGTCACCGCACAGACGTACAACATGCCGAGAACCCAAGAAAAGCCACGCGTGTACTTCCTTCGGCTTAATTGATTCACCTTAGTGATGGGTTGTTATTTAACGACGGCCTGTTTCAACCGGTTCAAACTGGACAAAACGCCTCATTTTGTACCCGCGACGGTGCAAAAATCCGCAAAAGACATAGGGATTGCGAGCGTTTTTTTAAAAACTCTTTTACTAATCTTTTTCTTTTCCCGTGTTTGCTTCCAGGATGTCGAGCCCCGCCGCGGCCGCCGCCATCCTCAGGCACCCGCTGCACCTCGGCCACCTCGCCGCCGCGGCCTCCAGCTTCGGCGCCACCCCCGCCGACTTCCTGGGTAAGCCGGTTTGCAAACGTGACACACACACTCACACACATCTGGGGCACACGCCCGGGCTGTGACTGGGGCATCTACGTCGTGTGCGAGCACCGCGGCCGCTCCACTCTCCGCTCGCACGTCCGCCTGCCGAGTGCACCGGCGGCGGGCGGGGGCGCGGCGGTGGTGGGGCACTTGTGGGGCTGCATGTGTTGCACCTTGTGGGACGGGGCGGCAGCGGCGGCGGCGGTGCGGCGCCCGCTAAGCAGACTGCCCCGAGCCAAGGCCGTAATGCGTAAAGCGATGCCGTACGACGACGACACACCGCACCACACGCCGCGGCCCCGCCACACCACCACCGTGTTACACATCCCCACTTGCACCACACGCCCCCCTTCCCCTCCCCACTCACCCCCACCCGCGATGTAAACTTCCCCGCGCTTGCCGGGCGGCCCTCCCCAATCGATCCAATTCGCCTCTCGCGGTCGCCAAGTATTAGCCAAGCCGATATTTCGTTTGCATTACCCGTGGCCGCGGGCGGGTGAGGTGCGCGGCCGGCGCTGGAGGCCCGCTGCTGCCGGAGGCCCCCGCGGGGAACTCCTGGAGAACGCGACGGCGGCGGCCTCATAAAAAATATCAGCGGCGGCGGCAGCAGCAGCGGCGTTCCGAACTGAGCTGGGAAAGAAAACAATCGGTTTTACTTTATTCATTATGCAGTATTATTCCGCCGGGCTCCCTTGCTGCTGCTGCTGCTGCTGCTGCTCCGGCGGATGGAGAACGATTTCATCGCGGTCGCGTCCCGCGCCGACTGCTGGAGTGGCTTCAGCTCTGCTTCAGCAAGAGCAAGGGCCGGCCAAGCGGAGAGCGCGCAACTTTGCAGCAGCAGCAGCAGCGGCGGCAGCGGCGGCGGAAGCGGACCGCAAACTTTTCGCAACAACTGCAGCCGCTCCCCCGCGCTGCCGCCGCGCCTGGCCGGTCGCGATTCTTATTTCCATCGCAGCCCCCTATACTCCCCCACTTTCAATCAGTTTCGCCCCCCTGCACTGCTCTCTCTTGCTCCGCGGCCTCGCGACCCCCGCCGCAGCTCCCGCGCGCGCGGTGCGCCTCCTCGCGGTCCTCCCCGTGGAGACTGTCGCGGAGCTGCGCAAAGCTTCTTTTCGCCCGACGTTAGGCGGATTGCCGTGCCGCGACGCAACGTAGCGCGCGCCTATGCAGAACGACGCGCCTCCTGAGCGCTGCATTAGCGCCACGCGGTGCCCCCCCCCCTCCCGTCTCTCTCTACCTCCTCCTCTCTCCACCCATCTCTCTTTCTCTCTCTTTCTTCCGCGTTTTGTCGCGACCCCCCCGGTTTGCTTCCTCCGCCCGCCGCGGCCAAGTCCTCTGGGACGCCGAATTAGGCCGCCGCGGTTAAAGCCGTGGGCTTAGCGTCTTAGTCCTCGGGGACGGTACGGGACGGAGCGGGGGTAGGGATATACTTCACTATACATTCAAGTGTACACAGATTTTTCTGTTTTTCTTTACATCTTTCTTGCTGTTCTTGTGTTTTTTCTCGTAGTTTTCTTGGATTTTCCATCAATTTCCCCCTTCTTTTCTCGTATTTTTCGAGTGATATGTACCCGGGGGAGCCGCGCGTTGGAGGTCAGTGGGTCGAGCCTCTTTAAAGCACCGTGTCCTCTCTTTTGCAGCCGTGGCCTACCCCAACCTGTACCCGGGCGCCTACATGTCGCAGGCGGCCGCGGCCGCGGTGGCGGCCTCGTTCGCGTCGGGCGGCGGCAGCCCCATGTCCTCGCCCATGGGCAGCCCCCGGCCGCACGGCCAGCACCACTCGGGGCACCAGCACCAGCCGCTCGTGCCGCACGCGCTGCACCACCACGGGCTGGCGCTGGCGCAGGGGCTGGCGCAGGGCTTGGCCGGCCACCACAGCCCGCTGGCCGGCCACCACCCGCTGGCGGGACACCACGGCCTCGGCGGCCACCCCGGCCTCGGCCACCACCACGGCCTCGGCCACCACGGCGGCCACCCGGGCGCGCCGCCGCCCAAGCGGAAGCGACGCCACCGGACCATCTTCACCGAGGAGCAGCTCGAGCACCTCGAGGCCACCTTCGAGAAGACTCACTACCCGGACGTCGTGCTGCGGGAGCAGCTCGCGCTCAAAGTCGACCTCAAGGAAGAGCGAGTCGAGGTGAGTCTCCTTTCAATCTTTTTACCTCTGCGAATGGACCGATAAGGTGTTCAACTTTGCGTTCGCGAGGCTAAACTCGGGTAGATTCTCAATTCCAGCTATCGAATTTCCCCATATCGAACAAGAGTTATGATCACTCATCGCAACTAAGTCTTTTTTCATGTGCGATGTAAATAAATGCACATGGGATGAATGAGTGCGCTACGGCTCCTTTAGACTGCTGTGTAGCTTTAGAGCGTGTTCAGCTTAGGGGCCATCCATTAAGTACGTCCGCGGTTTTTGACCCCAAATTGACCCCCCCCTCCCCCTTGTCCATGCACGTCCGTTTTCGATGACCCCCCCCCTCTTTGGACGTCCATTTTGACCAAAGTACTCCTA